GTCTTCTTCAGACCAGCAGGTCTTCTGCAGACCAGGAGGTCCTCTGCAGAGCAGGAGGTCTTCTGCAGACCAGGAGGTCCTCTGCAGACCAGGAGGTCCTCTGTAGACCAGCAGGTCTTCTTCAGACCAGCAGGTCTTCTGCAGACCAGGAGGTCCTCTGCAGAGCAGGAGGTCTTCTGCAGACCAGGAGGTCCTCTGCAGACCAGGAGGTCCTCTGTAGACCAGCAGGTCTTCTTCAGACCAGCAGGTCTTCTGCAGACCAGGAGGTCCTCTGCAGAGCAGGAGGTCTTCTGCAGACCAGGAGGTCCTCTGCAGACCAGGAGGTTCTCTGCAGACCACAGAGTTCTAAAAGAGTCCATCTGTCTGACAGCTGAGGTTTGGACCAAACTGGGTCCAACAGAACCGGTTTCTGAACCGTCCCGGCTGTTAACCCCTTCACTCCCAGCAGGAAGTCCTTCATACCTCACTGAGCTGATACTAGACGTTCCTGAAAACCCGTGGGTCCAGAACCAGAACCTCTGCAGAGTCTGGGTCTAAAGAAATGAGAAATATTTAAACAGATATTTTTAGTCTCCTTTGCTGTAGATGTTTAATGTTGTCAGGTTCCACTCAGAACCAAAGTTCTGCTTCCTGATCCAGCAGAACCACCTTTAAATAAACACATTAATGTTTGTTGTTCAGATCAACTTCCTGCTTTAAAACTTTTATAAATCAGCTGATTCAAACAGTTTGTTTTTCTTCTTCCACACTCAAACTATCACTGCTGGGATCTCCTCATGCAATCTGATCTGGGAGGAAAACTTTACAAACTGGTGAAACTTCTGGCCCGTGGGTCTGGAGCCGGTTCCCACGGTGAAAAAACAGCAGTGATTGATGTCTGAGAGTTGGTTGAATCCTCTCAGGAATAATCTGTAAATCAGGCTGAGGTCAGAAGAAAAACTATTTTCACTTTTCAACAGGTTCAGACTGAGACGACTCGGTGCTGCTGAAACATGAACTTCTTCAGACGGTGAAGAAATTATTTATAGAAATAAAAATAAAAAAATCAAAAACCAGGAGAATTTCTGCTGAAAACCAACAAAATCAATCTGTGAAAAATAAACAGTGTGAGAGTCGGACCTGCTGACACGTCCAGGTCCAGCTGAAGAAGCTAAAGCAGCTAAAGACCAGCAACGGTCAGAAACCAAGGTAGAGACAGAAGCTGCAGACACTGAAGACACAAAACGTTCTGAATCAAAACTGGTTTCTGTTTTATTTCAACAGAACAAAGGTTTGGGGTTTTGGATCTGGACTGTTAAAAAACACAGCAGTCAGAAAATCATGCAAACAAGTTCAAAGAGATTATTTCAAGAGTCCAGACCTGGACTCATCCAGACCACAAGACCTTCAGGGACCTGCAGGTGGGCCACAAAACATCTGGAAGGAGGTCTTTGGACTGTAGACCTACAGAACTTTGGACTGTAGACCTACAGAACTTTGGACTGTAAACCTACAGATCCTTAGACTGTAGACCTACAGATCTTTGACTGTAGACCTACAGATCCTTAGACTGTAGACCTACAGGTCTTTAGACAGTAGACCTACAGATCTTTAGACAGTAGACCTACAGATCGTTGGACTGTAGACCTACAGATCATTGGACTGTAGACCTACAGATCATTGGACTGTAGACCTACAGATCTTTGGACAGTAGACCTACAGATCATTGGACTGTAGACCTACAGATCTTTGGACTGTAGACCTACAGATCGTTGGACTGTAGACCTACAGATCATTAGACTGTAGACCTACTGACCTTTGGACTGTAGACCTACATATCTTTGGACTGTAGACCTACAGATCTTTTGACTGTAGACCTACAGATATTTGGATTGTAGACACAGATCTTTGGACTGTAAACCTACAGATCTTTGGACTGTAGACCTACAGATCTTTAGACAGTAGACCTACAGATCATTGGACTGTAGACCTACTGACCTTTGGACTGTAGACATACTGACCTTTGGACTGTAGACCTACTGACCTTTGGACTGTAGACCTACAGGTCTATGGACTGTAGACCTACAGATCTTTGGACTGTAGACCTACAGATCTTTGGACTTCTTTGGAGTGTAGATCTTTGGACTGTAGACCTACAGATCTTTGGACTGTAGACCTACAGATCTTTGGACTGTCTTTGGAGTGTAGATCTTTTGACTGTAGACCTACAGATCTTTGGACTGTAGACCTACAGACCTTTGGACTGTAGACCTACAGATCTTTGGACTGTCTTTGGAGTGTAGACCTACAGATCTTTGGACTGTCTTTGGAGTGTAGATCTGTGGACTTTGGACTGTAGACCTACAGATCTTTAGACAGTAGACCTACAGATCGTTGGACTGTAGACCTACAGATCTTTAGACAGTAGACCTACAGATCGTTGGACTGTAGACCTACTGACCTTTGGACTGTAGACCTACTGACCTTTGGACTGTAGACCTACTGACCTTTGGACTGTAGACCTACAGATCGTTGGACTGTAGACCCACAGATCGTTGGACTGTAGACCCACAGATCATTGGACTGTAGACCTACAGATCATTGAGCTGTAGACCTACAGATCCTTAGACTGTAGACCTACAAATCTTTGGACTATAGACCTACAGACCTTTGGACTGTAGACCTACAGACCTTTGGACTGTAGACCTACAGATCCTTAGACTGTAGACCTACAGATCTTTGGACTGTCTTTGGAGTGTAGATCTTTGGACTGTAGACCTACAGATCCTTAGACTGTAGACCTACAGATCTTTGGACTGTCTTTGGAGTGTAGATCTTTGGAGTGTAGACCTACAAATCTTTGGACTATAGACCTACAGACCTTTGGACTGTAGACCTACATATCATTGATCTGTAGACCTACAGATCATTGGACTGTAGACCTACAGATCATTGGACTGTAGACCTACAGGTCTTTGGACTGTAGACCTACAGATCATTGAACTGTAGACCTACAGATCATTGGACTATAGACCTACAGATCATTGGACTGTAGACCTACAGATCATTGGACTGTAGACCTACAGGTCTTTGGACTGTAGACCTACAGATCTTTGGACTATAGACCTACAGATCTTTGGACTATAGACCTACAGATCATTGGACTGTAGACCTACAGGTCTTTGGACTGTAGACCTACAGATCTTTAGACAGTAGACCTACAGATCTTTGGACTATAGACCTACAGATCATTGGACTGTAGACCTACAGGTCTTTGG